GGGGGAGCTAAAATTACGCCCCCAGGTCCCCTGGCTTGGGCCAAAACTTTGAAAAGTCTCAATTCTCTGGGTCCTGGGGGTGCCCCCCCCCCCCAGTCTGGCCCCTGAGGCGGCTGCCTCAGTTTGCCTCATGGTAAGGCCAGCCCTGGCTGAGAGGCGGGGCAGGACACACCTTTCCCAACAGCCGTGGTGGGAAGGGAAGTGCTGGTTGTATCCCAGCCTCGGCCCCTAGAGCCGCTGTGGCCCAGCAGCCAGCAGGTCGTGGGGGGAAGGGCTGGGCGGTGTCCCCCAGCCCTGGCCCCAAGACCCCCCGCCATACAGGCAGCAGCGCAGGGCTAAGTGAGGTTGGCGAGGCAGGCACTACGGGCTCTGGGGATGGGGATAATATTGAGAGCTTTGGAGACTGGGAGCAGTGGGGCTCTGGAAACAGGAGGCTGGTACTGGGGGGCGTGATGGGGGGGCTCTAAGAGGTGTGGGGATGGCACTGAAGTATTTGGGATGGGGGGCTGGCACTGGGGGTCTCTGAGGGAGGGAGGCTGGCACTTGGGGGATTGGGTGCAGGGGACTCGGGTCAGTGGCTGGCACTGGGAAGTAATGGAGGGCTGGGGAGCCCTCGAGATTAGGAAGCTCAGCTTCTGGCAAACTGGTAATGTTTTATTTGCATATTTGCATATTCATCACTTGAATAATAAATATACAAATATGTAAATAAAATGTTACCAGTCCACCTAAAGTTTGTGAATGGGTTTGCCAGTCCCTGGTATCAGAAAGGTTGGGAACCACTGGTCTAGTAGACTGTGCACAGAATGGGAGTCGGGAATGCCTGAGTTCTAATTCCAATTCTGCAACTAACCTATTGTGTGGCCTCTGGCAAGACACTTAATTTCTCTGTGTCTAATTTTCTCCAAAATGGCGATTATAACACTTCTGATATTTCCCTTGTGTAGATAACAGGGAATAATATTTCTCTTCCCAACAAGGCTTCCATGAAAATTAGTTAACCTTAATTCATTAATTCATTAATAAATTAACGTTATGAAAGGTGTTATAAAAGCTAAGCATTATTACTATTCCATAATCCAGTTTTAAATTTCCTCCTGTGTGTGAAACATGGAGCAATTTTACTTTGCATCCCCCATGTATTTCTTGGTTCTCTACTCATATCTTTTTGCCCCCCTTTTTAATCAGCATCATCTTCTCTCTGCCTCATCATGTACATATGTATCAGCAATACTGATGTGAGAGTCTTCTCCTTGGCAGATCTGACCATCTATATAATAGGGATGTCAGCATGTACTCGTCTAGGCTTATTGGTTAATCTTGTCGACTACATGCATTTTCCCCCCCCCCCCCCGTATCAGAGGCAGCAAGGTGTGTGTGTGGGGGGGGGGGAACAGGAGTCATGCTGGGGGGAGCCAGCTTAAAAGGCACTGGCTCTGGTGCCGCCTGTCCCCCTGCCCCCATGCTGCTGCCTCTATCAGAGGCAGCAGTGTGGTGTGGGGCCAGGGGAAGCTGCTGCAATGCAGCCTCTGTCCGCAGCAGGCCCGAGCTCCCTGCAGACAGAGGTTGCTCTGTGGCAGGTGGAGCTGCCTCTGTCCATGGGGAGCTTGGGCCCCCCACGGATAGGGACTGCTGCCATCCTGCACTGCTAACTCTATATGGGTATGTCTACACTACCCCGCTAGTTCGAACTACCGGGGGTAATGTAGTCATCCGCACTTGCAAATGAAGCCCGGGATTTGAATTTCCCGGGCTTCATTTGCATGAAACCGGCTGGCGCCATTTTTAAATGCCAGCTAGTTCGAACCCCGTGCCGCGTGGCTACACGTGGCACGGAGTAGCTAGTTCGGATTAGGCTTCTAATCCGAACTAGCTGTACGCCTCGTGGAAGCCTAATCCGAACTAGCTACTCCGTGCCACGTGTAGCCACGCGGCACGGGGTTCGAACTAGCTGGCATTTAAAAATGGCGCCAGCCGGTTTCATGCAAATGAAGCCCGGGAAATTCAAATCCCGGGCTTCATTTGCAAGTGCGGATGACTACATTACCCCCGCTAGTTCGAACTAGAATGGTAGTGTAGACATACCCTGACACTTTACATCCAGTGTTTAAAGGCAGAGCTGACTAGAATCAATTGAGAGTCCTTGTCTTGTCTCAGTGATCGCTTGAGCAAAAATCATTGATAAAATCTTGTGTAGACTGACCCCGGCTCCTGCCTGGCACCCTGCACTGCTGCCTCTGATACACAGGCAGCAGTGTGGGAAGGCAGGGGGCCCCCTAGGAGTGGGGCCGGACTCACTGGGTGTCCCTCCCTGCCTCTGGGGACTGTAGAATAGTCGAGTAACCAATAAGAATTCACGTGGTTACTCTATTGTTCAATTACCCGATATCTAACATCTCTACTATATAACCTTCTTTCTTATCTCTCTCTGGCTCACAGACGCTCCATTTCATTTCATATCTCACCAGAAAATACATCCCTTTCCTCTTTGCTTTGAATTTCTCTTTTATCTGCCCTCATTTATTTTCTTGCCAAAGCATATTGTGATGCAGCTTACATGAAAGATGCCACTCAACATATATTTGTATTATACATCATTGTTTCCACCAGAATTTATGCCATCACGTTACATAGGCACTGAACTACTGACAGCCCTTTTGCCTGACAAAGCAAAAATACACTGAGAAATGGTATCCACACACCCTAACAATCAGTAAATAAAACCCAGACACCACAGCTGTTGTTTTCCCTCCATATAAGGCCTCATTGCACCAGCAGGAGTGGCTGGTAATTTCACTTAATGACTAGCAAGGCAGAGATGCCAAGCAGGCAAACAGTCCATGA